GCATAATTTTTCATTGGAAATGCTTGGAGATCTTCAGTTTTCAGCCTCCCAGATCCTGGAAAATGGAGGGTGTTGACCCTCTGAAGTGTTTGGAGTTTCAATTTGAAAGCATGCTGATGGACAGTCTATTGCAGGCAGGTTTTCCCTTACTTGGCAGCTATGCCACAAAGTGTGACCCAAGTGCCAAAAGAAATTATGGTTGATTTAACACAGCGTTATTGGTATGCACCAGGGTTTACCTCAGTTGCAGCTACCTATTGTCAATCGTGGTTTACATGTCCAAAGTTTAATGATGAATTACCTGTAAAAGCACCTCAGAAACATTTTCCAAAAGTTCTGTACCATTTCCAGAGGCTACAGATTGCCTAAATGTGAGTTGTATGAGTATGTGCTTGTGTGTGTGGATGCTTTCTCTGGATGGGTAGAGGAGTGGCCACTCAGAAATGCAGCCCAGGATACTGCCAGAAAGTTGCTGTCAGAAATAGTTTGTAGATTCATGTAATGGGCAGATTTGGATATGCATTAGCAGTTCTATGCTGATTTTCACGTTATGGTAAGTGGTAAGGTTGAGAGTTCCAAATTTACAAAGGAAAGCTTTGTGAGCGGACAGGGCTAAAATGGATTTAAGCACAAATTTGGCACAACACCCTATAAACCTTTGAACTCAGCTCATCTCATCATTTTGAACAAGCTCCTAAGACTGAACTTTGTTTCATGATGCTAATCATTCTCTTGCTTATGTTTCTTTTGGCTGAACTAGTAACTTTGACTTTGTACTTTGCATGGTACACAAACTGACCTACACTCCCAAGTGTTTTATTCATTGGCCGATTCTAAGCTAAGGACACTCCACACTACCTGAGTATCGGAGACTGGGGAGGATTAAAGCAAGCCTTTCTGAGATGGGCCTTTCCAGGCTCTGCTGACTACTGCCACATCAGTCAAGTTTGAGTAAGCCCACCTGAATCCTAGGGATGGATACTTTGCTTCAACCTCATCATGCTATGTCTCTTAAAGTGTAAAAGCTGGCTTATAGACATCAGGAGACGTTGCCACACTACCTAAAGTGTGTCGTCACACCCTCCTGAGTAAGTGGCCAAGCCAGAGCCACAAAACACATTTAGATGGTGTTTTATATGTGTACCTATCATTGAATAATAATCTCCTTATTGATGAAATACCTCAGATGCCATTGGTCTTACTATGGGTGCCTCTGCTATCCTCCAGTTTTTTTGGGGCACTTTCTCCCTCCTGCTACCCCACAAGGGCAGGAGGATATGGAGGATTTCCAGAAGGGCTAGCTTCTGTTGACATACTACAATATGATACATTAGTGCCTAACTTTAGCCAGGCTTTTTATAGTTTTGGAAAGAGTTGGTAATGGTTCAAATTTCTGTTTGTATTTATTTATTTCTGTTACCTATGGGGGGAGATTTGCCCTTTAGTACAAGAAATGAGGGGCATGGTTGTCACTAGGGTTGCACAGATACCAAGTACAGTACTCGGGACAAGTACGAGTACATGTACCGATACTTTTGCGCTCCAAGACTACACTAGAGAAAAATTCAAAAAGTTAGGAGGCAGCTGTCATTTGTAAGGAGCACACGGAGCTCCTGGGATTTGTACATCTCTGTTTTAATGTATGATTTTGTTTTTATAACTATAAATAAAGCGATGCACAGATACCAGTTTTGCGAGTACGAGTACTGGTACTTGCCGAGTACTTACAAGTACGAGTACTGATACATTTTTTGTTTATTGTCATGTGACAGTTTTTCTAAAACAATACAGACTAATGATTTCAGGACAGTGGTGGAGCGCCAGAGCCAGGTCCCAGCTGCAATGTAAATATTAGCTTTAGCTCATAAGCAGGGCTGGATTGAACGTTAAACAAAATAAGCACATGCTTAGGGCACCAAGGGAAGGAGGCACCATGGAGTTTGTTCCTAGCTATCATGCTCTTAAAAGGTAAGTGCCATTATGCCAATTTACCCTGAACTATTTACCCTGAACTATTCAATCTCCCCCTTTCCCCTCCACTTGTATACTTACCAAAATCTGTATGCTGTGCCTCTATTATTTATTTACATTCTGTGCCGCTGGTTCTCTTTTTCATTGCCATACAGGAGCTTTACTGTCACATAGACTTCTATTGGGCTCATCTACATTTGACTCCTGCTCTCAAAAGCTAGTTGATGCTTACTTAGGACTTGGACAGTAATCTCTCTGCCGAGCCTTAGTAGTTTCACTCATATATGCACTATAAGTTCAGTGCAATAAAAACTACATGCCCAGATTTAGCCATAATACATTTTGTAAAATAATTTAACAATGCAAAACGCAGACATTGCATTGCATATATGTTTTACATTAATTGTCACAAATTGCACAGATGAGCGTTCATCTTCTCAACCCAAATATATTAAAAATCCCAACACAACAACTATGTGACAAGACAGGCTGAATGTATAAAGGCAGATTAGTTTTGAGGACATAATCAAATACTTTGCAATTAAAAAAAATCTAAAACTTTTAAAAATGTAAATAAATTATAACATACAAGTAATTAATTTGCCTACAGGGTTTAAGTTCAAAGTGGGAAATTATTACCATCAAAGAGATAATTTTTGTAGTAAAAAGGTTTTAAGTCATTTTTCATTTTTCGTGAATATCAAAGCGAGAATTTGTGAACATCAAAGTAAGAATTATTAACTCAAAGTGAAAGCAAATATACAGTAAAATTATTATTCTTTTTCATTATCATTTATTAAAGAATTTATTTCCTTCATCATGGTCTAAGTCAGTTGCCTAAATTTGATCCATGCCCATGCCCAATCTGTGAAATAAATAAAATGAAAACATTTGTATTTAATATAGTTGTGGAGTCTGACCTGGGGCTGATGTGGGTGAAAATTGAAGCAGGTTCATAAATGTTCAAACTTTTTTTTTCACTTTCAGCATTTATTGAGTCTTAACAGCTTGTCAGTTAAAGTGGACCTTTACTCCCTTTAACTAAAAATGACATCAGCATACAGCTCTGCATGCTGATATGAAATCATCTTACATTCAATTAGCTAAACAAACATATTTTTATTTTACTTACAATTTCTTTTTTTCCACTTCCTGGTCCACAAATTATGTAATGTGCCCAAACCATTGCATCCTGTGAAGGTTTACATCAGCAGAGCATTGCTGGGAAATCTCATCTGTAATCTCCTGAGATCTCAGGGAAAGGCATTTTCCTTCCCTGAGATAATGTGGTCACATGTCCTAGTCACATGTGTCAGAATTCCAAGAATTAAAGGGGGATCTAGTAATCTGCCCTTAGTTAAAATGGTCACTGTCAGAACACTGGGGAAGAAAATAAAAATAAGGTATGCAAAAAATAAAAAGCCTGCAATTATCTAGAAGTATGTGTTTGCAGATTGTCATTACGAAACATTTCTAAAGGTGCCTTTGTTGTTATTTTAAAGCTATGGGTAAAGTTCTTTAAGAAATAAAGGTTTAAAGAGGGCACCATTGTTGGGTTGTGTTTAGGGCATCAGTTGCCTTAATCTGGCCCTGGTCATAAGCACGCACAACTTGGCCCACAGTGTGAAAAACAAAATATTTTATTACTTTCAACAGACAAGGTGCATTGTTGGCATCACAATATTTTCATGAAAATGGCATAAAAAAAAAAACAGGCTGATGATGCAAAAAAAAAAAAAGTATTCTGTATATGTGTACAATACAGTCATGAGCAGTTATACAGACATTGAGATGAGAAGTAAATGAAATTCCTGTACTGGTGGCAGCATGTGTAACTAAATCTACCACTACATTTGTGACCCTGAAAATGCAAGATATGCTGGCATAATACCACGGGCCTCAAGCTGCAGGCAAGCATGACAGTCTTAGCAATGAGGTTCACTTTATCCTCTCATATAAGAGCTTAGCAAAGGAAGGGGGATCTAAAAACCTGTTTAGTTTTTTTCACTATCATGTGGTCACAAAGTAAACAGATTTTCATACTGACAACTGTGTCTTTTATGGATTTACTACAACCATTGTAGATTTAACTGCATTTTCACTAAGCTGCTTCTGGAAACCGATGCAAGGTATACTTTCACATTTTTATTGATGGTGCATTCACCCAAACCCACTCTCCTAGCTGAACTTTTTCCTTTTCTCAGCTATCAATGCTGTTTCTGAATTAAAACACGATAGATCGGGAAGCAGTAACGAGAAGAGGATATTTGAGAAAGGCTCCATGAAGTTACCTGTCAAAGATATCTTGCACCTATTTCCAGAAGCAACTTTGCAAAGAGAAACTGAAATCTGCAGCAGTGAGAAGAAACCATCTATTATGATTTACTTCTGTAGTACAGTCTGATACATTATATCAGATAAATAATCAAAATTGTTTAATGCTGCGTACTATATTAAAATATTTTTGCTCTTGGTTGGCAGTATTTTTGCTGAGGTAGTTTAGCTTCCCAAAATTCCATCTAATTCTGTGCATACTAGTTTAGGTGATAATGGTCCTTTCATTTATTATATTTTATACCTGAGAATGACATGCACGAAGACACGCAAGGCTGACATCTGGGGAAATGGCATTAAAGAGATATTACTATAGTGGGTGGAAGGTATATTATTGGTACGGGTCAGTTCAGGCTGCAGCATTTGGAAGTCACCAATGTTGAGCTGCAGTTTGCATTAGACCGATTTTCTGAATATTTCTGTCATGATATCATGGATTTTTTTAGTCAGTAAATACTTAGGAATTCAGCTCTCTGAATCAGCCAAAACAATTCTGGATTTGTACCTTTTATTCTTAAAATGGACAGCTGTTCAGTGTGCACTAAACCGATTTTAAAGCTCTTTTTTATGATGTTAGGCCGTGTTATTCACTAGTCATAGGAGTCCTTGATTGAACCATATTTCAAAGGTTAAAGCAGGAAAAACAAGTGTGCCCATGAACTGTGAATTTAGACCGATATATAGTCAGCAAAAATAAAAACAACTGGCTTGCCACTTACACAGCACATTAGCAATAGCAGTTTCATAACATAATGACAAGAAACCGGTTTGCAATACAGCTACAAGCTTTGCACAAAATATTTAGCAAGCAATTTTGTAAAATCTAAATAAAATTAGAATTCTAACTTGTAGCTAGGATTGGTCTGTTGAATGAAACAGCTTAGATAGGTTTCGTTGCAGAGGCTGGTCAACCAGTGTCCTATGAAACATACAGGGATTCCAATGTTACTTACTGTTCAATGTGCCTACAGTATTTCACACATACCCGTGGAAGGATACAGTACTGTTAAACCATGCACACTTTTTCTTGTCCAGATGCCAGGAAGCCGTCAACGTTCTACGTAGCCCAGCTTCTGGGATAATAGCTATTAAATGCTGCTGCGTCCAGTACAGCTTGACCATATTGCAAAGGCAAGGATGTCCTTATCTTGCATAATTATTAGAATAGTCCCAAACTGCACTGCTTCTTTAAAAAATAGAAAAGTGCCAGGCGTGGGAAATACAAATTTACCATCCTGAGTGCGGTTGGGAGGAAAATTCCCGCGTTTAATGCCAACCTAGGAAAGATTTCCTTCAGTTGTCACACCCAGTACTGACTGCCTGGCTGTCCATTTCCACCAACTCCATTGCCCCTGTGCCCTCCAACATCACAAAGGGGGATATCACTGTCCGGCTCAGTTGGACGAAATGTTTGCCGATCTGCAGCTCCGTTCTCAGTCTTGGCAGCGGAAGTGGCAGCTTTTTGAACATGGTGTTTTCCCATTTTTTTTCTCCGTACAAAATAAGCTAAAATAAGAAGTCCAAGTAAAATAAGAAGTAATACTATACAAATAGGTAGTAGGATACTATACATATGGGTATTCATAAATCCAAGCAGTGTATCTTCCCTAGCTGTGTTTGGTATTGTGGATGCATTCACATTTGTTGTATTTAAGAATACATCATGAGTGGCACTTGTAGTTAGGTCTTCTGACACCCAAAAGTCTTGTGTTACAGTATTTGTACTGTTCTTGGAAATGTCTGGGTATGTGGTAGGTACAAGGGCTGGTGTAATTGCAGAGGTTGAGACTCGATCTAAAGTTTTGATTGTAGTTAAACCAGTAGTAGAAGCAAATGGTGCTGTGGTCTGTAACTGTGTGCTTGACTCACTAGTCATAGATTCTAGAAGAATGGTTGACCCGATAGTTGGAGATTGCTTGTTTGTGGTAAAAATTCTTGTGGATGCAAAGGCTGTCGTAGATGTGGCTACATTTGTAGTAGTCTCTAAATCTGCAACTTTCCTGAGTAGGGTAGCACTATAGGAATGGGAAGAGTTGAAAGGTACAGTACTAAACCTTACAGTAACATTTGCTGGAGGTACTTGACTAGCACTGACTACCAAATGAAGCCTATCCCCCCGTATACCTGTTCCAGTCTGCTCATCTTCCCTTAACTCCACTCCTATAAATCCACTTTCTAGCTCTTGTTGTGAAAATGCATTAGTGCTGGTTGCTTCTCCTCTACCACCCTCATAGGGAAATCTTACTACCTTCCCTTCCCTTGGGTGATGGATAACTCTGAACTGAGGGACACTTTTTGTAAGTTTACCTAACTCACTTGCATCAACAACATCTGGCCCTAGTCTAATGGTACAGCCTCGTGGCCATTGTTGCTTGTTTCCTATTTTCACCATTGGAGAAACCTCTATTGTTATTTTTCCAACAGCTTCTTCACCCTGATCGGAAAAGACAAAATATTCAAACTGATCCTGGTTGGATAAGAAACTGGTAAAGGTATAAGCTAATTCATTTTTGTTTACCTGTTCCTCATTGAACTCAGTAACTGGTATGTGGCCAACTACTATGTCACCATAACTTGGTTTCCTTGTGATTTTATAGATAAATGTTTCTGTAGTTCTTTTCGGTATTGTTTGCATTTGTGTCATTGTAATAATGGCCTTGCCAGATGCTTGCCTAACTTCAAGAACAGCCTGATATACAGGCAATACCTTTACAGTTAGTTTTTCTATAAGAGTATGTTGTCCATTGGAAATATTAAATATGATTTCTCCTGAAACTGCAGTGAGGTTAGCCAAAAGGATAAGTGTTGAACTGGCAAGGTCATGTTGTGTGAATTTTGACAATGTCATAGACTGGTTCCCACCTCTTGCAACTGATATACCTAAGGGGGCTTCCACTATAGAATAAATAATCTTATCAGAAGAAACCAAAGCATTATCTACAGATATGTAATCTGGAGTGAGAGAAACATTTGAGCCCACTGCTAGGTATAATTTAGATTTTGGTGAATGTATGTCAGGTAACAAGGGTAGACTTGTAAATGTTATGTTAAATGACTCTGTAACTATCCAGATGGTTTCCGTTTGGTTAAGTTCATTGTAAGACTCTGATTTGGGATGCAGCTGAGCCTTAAACTTAAAACTGTCATGAAGGCTGTTTGCTTTGGTATTAGTGTACAACAAGGTTCCATTCTCCAAATGTGACTGTAAGAAATATGGAGTCTCTGGGCTGAGTACGGCACCATGTAGAGAGAGATGACCCTCTGAAGGGAAATTGGTAACAAAGAAAACCACATCGTGAGTAAGTCTTGATGTATTTGGATTTGCTAAAAGGTTGGATGCATCAAGTGAGTTGGAAGTGATGGGGGAAGAACCGCCTTGTACGATATCAAAACCTGAATAAACAAGAAAAAATATATTAAACCTTTGTTTAAAAATAAAATAATTATCATTCAAACATGACCTTAATAAGTATATGTGAACATTTCTATTTATATTGCTTTGATGTAGCCTAGGATAGCTTTAATAGGCATAATGTCCTTTTAAACCAGTTGTCATGGAAATATCTAGATCACAGTCTTAATTAGTGAAATCATAATTTAAAGGAGACATAATTTAGCTCATCTGTGCTAAATATATAACCTTTATAACCATTAATAATTAATTGTTACATTTTTTTCATAGCTTTGCAAAAAGGGCAAAAATTAGCAGGAAGGGGACTTTTTCTTGTGATCGCTAAAAGTCTGAATGACATTGCATTCACTTACGGTAGCATTTAAAGCTTTTGCAGTGAGTGCAAATGTCATCCAGATCATCTGACATCATTGCTGAAACCTGAGGATTCAGTTTGAGAGATTATTTTTATTTATTTTAGTATATAATATTAGTTTATTTATGTATTTATTACACTTTTTTTCCTTTATGGGGGGGTGTCTGTATTTAATCAGTGGAGGTCAGAACCAGACTTCCTGTGTAGCAGCAAATCAATGCTGCAATCTGTAGGAGCATCAGAAGCTGGATCCGGCTGTCACTGACAGCCAGCGGTTCCAGTGTTAGAGTTGGGGGGCTGCAGGATCCGCTAAGTCTGGAGTTGATTTAAAATGGTGCATGGAGAAATAGAAAGTGTCCCTGGGTAATTTTAAAACAGTGTCTGGGACTCAAGTGATGAATGCAGCCCTTTACACGCAAAAATCAAATTCTACCAATGCATCCCTCTATGTATGATGATTAATAATAACATAGACATGTCAGGTGTAAAATGCTGTTATTTCGAAAAGGTTACATCAGCAGAGCATTGCTGGGAAATCTCATCTCAGAGAAAGGCATTTTCCTTCCCTGAGATGATGTGCATGGTCACATGTCCTAGTCACATGTCTAGTCTCATGTGCCAGAAATCCAGAAAGTAAAAGAAGATCCAGCAAACGGCTCTTAGTTAACATGGCAGCTGTCAGAAGAATGGGGAGGAAAAGAAAAATAAGGTATGCAAAGAATACAAAGCCGGCAATTATCTAGAAGTATGTGTTTGTAGATTGTCATTACTAAACATTTCTAAATGTGACTTTGTTGTTATTTTAAAGATCTGGGTAAAGGTCCACTTTAACCTAAGCTGGGCTTCTTTTTAGGTGCCATGTGGAATGCGCATCTGAATTTTCCCTTTGTTTCACTTCATTCACTAAAACAAGAGAAAATTCACTTTGCAAAGTGAAAATATACTTTGAAATTAAACATGCTCTACTACTTTAGTAAATCAACTCCATTGCTTCTTTAAAGAAGCATGGACAGAAAATGCCCTGATGACCGACCATATATTATTGATGATTCTATCGGCCTGTGTTAATGTGCTTTAACAGTCAAATTCAGCTTTCACATCAGTTTGAGATGCTTAGAACATCTTTCAGTATTTTGCTTACCCATAGACTTATTAAGCAGTTATGAAGTGAAAAAAGCCCTGCAACACTGACTTTTTGGGTATTTATTTCCTAAATGGCCTTAAAGTGACACTAAACACTTAAAAATGCATCTTATTAGTGTATCACTCAGCTGTAGATCCTCAAATCATCTCTGAATTGGTGCTGACACTGTCCTTCCTTCTGGATGGTGTCTACTTTTGTCCCCCATAGTCCCTGAGTGTGTTGTAAAGTAGCCAACACTCCAGGATCACTCCCATGATGGACTACAAACTAGATACAAATTAGTAAACTAAACCTGAGATTGTAGTCTATGACAGGAGCGAGCTTAGAGTGGAAGAGTGGAAGCTCCAGAAGGAAGGACAGTGTCAGCACCAATTCAGAGATGATTTGAGGATCGACAGCTGAGTGGTATACTAAAAAGATACATTTTTGTTAATAGTTAAGGTAGTTGAATGCATTTTTAAGATTTAACTGTATAGGACGTATAACTCACAGGACTTTAGACTGCTGGAGGGGAGGAAGAGGCAGGCTCCAGGGACCAGTCTAACAGCCATTAATCTGCAAGGTTCATGTGAGTATAACTTTTTTTATCTTCCTCCCTAGACAAAAATGAGCAGTTAACCCTTTCAGTACGGGTGTAGCCCCACTGCAAGCGTTAAGAATAATTATGTCCAGAGTTTTTCTTTAGTAATCTTCAGGCCTAAAATGTGCATTTTAATAAGTGTGCAACATTTTTTGTTGCTAAAATGGCTCTGGCAGTGAACAGGTTAATGCAGGCTTTTTGCATCAGATGTTGTGGAACCCTTTCCGTATTATAGGAGTTTATTGTTTCGGGGGTTCATATGTGCAGGCATTATACTTTGTTAGAACAGTATGTGACATAAAACAAGCTGATGTCCCTTTGTAGCCCTGATTACTCTGCACCTGGCTGCATTATGAAGTCTTTCCTAAAATTCTGAAAATAATGAATTCTTCTGATTGACTAAAATGGCACCAACTAGCAGCAAATGAAAGATGAACAGTCAGTATTGCTTATCTACTTGTTCCAGGTCATTGATTCAGAAAGTACTAAAGCCAAAGCATGAACATGACAGACAACCAACCAGCATTTCAGGAGAAGTAACATCTCTGGCATTTCAGGCAGTCATCATCTTTGTCTCAGGGTAGGTTTCCTTTTATCTGACACCTATTGTCCTGTCTGATTCTGTCTAATTATTATTACTATTATTATTGGGCTTATCTGTATTTAAAGATACATTGTTGTCAGGCCATTCATTTCAACAGCAATCTTTTTATAAGATTATCTGTGCATTTAAAATATTTATGCATGTTTTTGCCTGTTATTGCTTCCCCTTGTGTTGCCTACCCATCTAAAAGCCCTGAGACGGCCGCCGGGTGCCGCCATCTTGGATGTGATGTTAGCAGCACTGGCAGACTCAAAGCCGTCATTCAAATGACACTCTATAGCAGGTTATATAGGGGGTGAGGGAAGGGGCGGAGAAGCTTGGCTAGCAGTGAAACTGATTAGACTCTCTCAGAATAAGAGATGTCTAGGACCTGCAAAGGAGGGAGGGGCCTATGCTAGGAAATTAACTCTTCTGAAGTATCTGTAAAAAATAAGTCAAGGAAACTGGATTTGCTGTATTTTTCTTGAAGACGATTTTTTACAGATATACCCTGACCTGGATGAATGAGAACTTTCACAGACATCTTCTGAAGTAGTCACATTTGCTAGCAAGTTCACAGGCACATTGCAAGTCAATTTAAAATTGATATAAAAAGAAAAGAAAACACTGCAAGTAAGCATTAAAAATATGTGATCTCTCTTTGCTTTTACCTTCAATTGTATAGGTTGGTGACAGGTTCTCTTTAAAGTACTATTAAACTCTCAATCTTTTTTTTTTTTAATAATGAATCCAGATCAAACAAATATATATTGCCCAGCAAAGGATTACTTTACATTTTTAAGCAGGCACTTATAATACATCAATCATTTCTGAACAGCTGGCTTTATCTCTCTCAGCTCCGCTTACCTGAATTTCCTGCCCAGCAGGGCCGTAGATAATTTTTTTCCTGGGTGGGGTTCAGAACAAAATTTTGTGCCCCCCTCCACCTCCAACGAGCAGACGCATAATTTGCCTGCTTTATTGTGTTTGGCCACTATTTGCAGGCCGTCTTTAATATTAATTGGAACCTCTGGATTTTCACACACACACACACACACACACACACACACACACACACACACATAGATATATATAGATCTATATAGATCTATATAGATCTATATAGATATATATCTATATAGATCTATCTATATAGATCTATATAGATAGATCTATATAGATATATAT